GTAGATAACAAAGTTAATCACGCTTAAATGTTTTGTTTGTAAATTATACATATACAAACTATAAATATTTACAGATAAATAATTGTCTTTATGAATGAAGTCTTTGAGATGAGAAAATCTACATGCTATCTCAATTATTACGTTCATGGTTTATCTGTCGTCTGCCCAAACTTTTTTAATTTTCATTTCTACATTTCACATGCACGTGCCTTGTAAAAGATAAGTGCAAACGATGCTTCTGATTGTCGTTAAGTTTATTTCTGAATGTAAATCATTTTTAAATGATTTTTCTTGAATCTGGCATGGCAGTTCTTTACGACGAAAACGATAAGAGCATGCCAAAACTGCACTTAGATGAACCCCTAAAAAATTCCACTAATTATGTAGATGTTGATACTTTTTTATGCTGAATCAAGACATTATTAATGGTTGTATAACTAAAAGCTGATTAGAGTTTATCTTTATTATTTTCGATAAGGGGTTTTGCTTTTAACCGGGGAAAAATGTCTGTTTGGATACCCGAATCGTATTAACCGTGAAAAAGAATTAGGAAATTTTTTTTCTTGAAGAATTCAGATTCTTAAAGAGGGAAAAACTGCATGTAAACCACGAAAATCAGAATGGATGCAGTTATATTTTCACGTGTTTGTAAACTGGGTTATTTTATATCTTCACTTTTTTTATGATATATAATATATCTATAGGACGAGAATAATGCTCAAGTCTGAAATAGTTACATGTTTGTCTAGCGATATTTGATGTGGAAATGGTAGTTCTCTTTATCTATGAATTCAACGTTGGGAGGGGTTTCAATGAATTCATACTTTCTGACCAAAATCTATATTATTCTTGAGAAGGAATATCAATGTCAAAAAGAACATTTCCTATACTCCCCACCGTTCAAAGTAAAACATTAAATCAAATAAAATATTAAGAAAACGGGAAATCGATTACTCCACCAGTCGTCTGCTGGGAAAATTTTCGAAGGCAGAAGGTTCGTTATAATCATCATATCAAACTCAATTGAATTTGAAATAATTGTGTTATTGTAAACGATTGGTCGTTGTTAATTATCAAATGAAATGATTATCCCAACAATGAAAAAGATGTATCAGTGGCAATTTAATTTCATTACAAAATTCCCTAACGAAGAGTTATGGAATGATCGGGACTAGATTACTGGTGAAATTTATCTGAATTTGTATCTATATTTATGGAAATATTTCCTGTTTACGTGTCGTTTCCGATTTTTTTTAAACACGTTGCTTTAAAATATTTCCGATTGTTTTCAAAATATGTTGCTCAAAAAAGTTCTGATTGGTTTTTAAAACACATTATTTTAAAAATATCCGATTGTTTTTAAAAGACGTTGCTTAAAAACTCCCCGAAGAAGTTCCCAGATGTAACAAATACCCAGCCCTTGATCTGAGAGTGCCACGCTGATGACACTCGTACTCCGGAATATTGTTAAAAGTAGGTCCATAGGAGGGACCGGGGATGAAGATACTGAGGATTAATCTTGCCTAGCCCTCCATATATTTCATGTGGCAGTAAAAAATTTCCCCCCTCCTGTGTCTTATTCGTCCCTCAGTTGGATCCAGTTTCTCATTTCATGTTTTACATCATTCGTTTCATTTTTCATGATATAGCTTATGTATTGTGCTGCTTGTGCGTAAAATACTAAAAATAAATTGCTGCGAAAAATTTTCCCGAAATAAAAAGAGTTGTTGCCTTTGTCACTCTACAAACTATAGTTAGAAGAATAGTCCGGATTGCGTAGTACTCCGGATTGCGTAGTACTCTCGTTTTACTTCTAAGAATCGACTTTCTTTTTTTAGAAAAGTTTTTTTCCAAGTCAGATGTTTGCATTCAGCAACAGTTTGACATTTTCAGTAAAGATTTTGTTGAAGAAATGAACTTTAGCATTTTACGCAAAAAAGTGAGAGGAAAAAAATCAATTTATTTGCAAAGATTTTTAAGTCATGCATTTTTTATGTTATTTACGAGAATTGAAATTGACGTTTGTTATGAATACTTTATGTTATTTATTTCATAATTTTTATGAATGAAATAATTTTAATAAATTTTTTGCTGAACATATCTATGTAATCAGAACGCCTGCGGCGAACCACTAGTTTCCCGCCATGTCTTATGCAAACTTATCAAATCGTTGATTATGTGTTTGCTTATCTTGTGCAAAAAATATTTAAAAACTACAAGATGTAAAATGTATTTACAAAAAAACTAACCCGGAGAGGAAATGATATATTTACGTTATTTTGACGTAGTTTTGACTGATATGAATTTAAACAACGGAAACGCACTTTTCACGCTTTTTAATATATTTTATTGTTTTGAATTAAAGTAGCTAAGTAACACATTAAAGCCATTATATTTCTTGTTTTTAAAACATTTAAGAGAGGAAATAATTAAACCGTAGTTGTGTAAGTTGATTTAATCACGACTTGTAGAACTGAATGTTGGCGTCTTCCAGTCGAAGAATCATTTTAAGCAAGCCCACCCATAATCCACTGTCTAAAATTTAAAATCTTAAACGTCGGAAATGGGTTTCGAATTCTACCATTTTATGTGAGAACTGACCACATCAGTTATAGAATATGTGTTCTTTATAGTATCTGGTATATGGATCTAATTTGTTAAGGTGAAAAATCGTTATTTTCTCTATAACATAGTAATCTTTTTAAGAAAAGTTACGAGGTAGGATTTCCGTAATTTTTTTCTATAATAGTTTTCTGCCATTTTGTAGACTGTTGTGAAGAAAGACAACTTGAATAAAATTTAAATTAAAAAGGGGTCAATTCATTGAACTTCGTATCTAAAAAAAATCTCTTTATAACCATCCTGACACCACCACTGACCGGAAATACTCGAAGAAGTCAAATCTTGGCCGAATAAATGACCAAAAGTTAGTTTGCATTCCTTTGAGTCGTGAAAATGGGAGCCCCTCAGAAGACACTTTAGCATGTTACCATGTGTCATTGCACGACATATGAAGACGGAAAAAATTTAAGACAATGATACCATTATTTTTATTGTATGAAAACTGAGACATGATTCGATGGCGGAGATAGCATTTTATGTTTATGTTCGGTGGTCGTTTTCTTCACTTTTATTATCAACAAATTTGTCTCCGTAAAACATTTATTCTGCTGAAAGATATTTTAATTAGCAAAGATTAAATGGACGTATGACAGACACTTGATAAGGCTGCGGTTACAAGGTTAAAAGGTTGCATGGGATCACCCAAGTGTTTTACGGTTAATTCGGAACTCCCCTATCTTGATATATGCTTTCTTAGATATCATGACATGTTTTACCAACCTGTAGATGACATCATTTGTAAACAAAATATTTTCTTGAGTAAACATATCTTAAATTTTCTTGTGCAGTATTTCGGGTCAAAGAGAACACAGTACATAAAAGTAATGAGATATGGTATGTTAGTCAATAATACAACTATTTATCACAGATCCACTGCACGGACAAAAGGATGAGGCTGTAAACAACATTAAGGCACTGCGCGGCCTTTAACAATGAGCAAACCTCATATAAGAAGCTATATAATAAAATGCCGAGCTGTACTAAATGTGAAACAATTCAAACTAGAAGACCAATGGCCTGATTGTTGCTAAAAACAAAAAACGCAGATATCAACCAACGGCGAACACTGTCTAATTTGATTTGATTTGATTGATTGGTGTTCAACGCCACTTTCAACACTATTGTGTTATTTCGTGGCGGTCAGTTTTTATTGGTGGAGAGAACTTCCGACCTTCGGTAGGAAAACTGACAATCCTAGTCAATCAAGATTGGAGTCGAGTGCACCTGCCACGTGCGGGATTCGAACTCTCAACCTGTGTTGACTGGCTAGTGATACAGTAGTTCGACTACTTAGACCACTCGGCCACAGAGGGCCCTAACACAGTCTAATCAAAATATATTTCTCTGATTTTTTAATGCTCGTAAAAAGAGTAAGCGAGTAACGATGGATTGCGACAACCACTGAATTACATTATATGTGCGCATACACACATATCAATAGAGTGATTTTTTTTTACAACGAAGACTTAAAAAACTACGTTAAATAAATGAATAAATGAACAGATCAATAAATGAATAAATAAATGATTAATTGAATAATAAAATAATAAATATGGTTAATGCTGAATATTGTTCCCGAGTAGATTTTTTTTTCATTAAACGAGCTTGTGAGTGCAACAAATATTCCATAAGGGTTAATATATTCATGAATATAAATGCAATAACCGTTTTATTGTATAATAGCCAAATTTGGAAATTTGTAAAAACATAATTTTGTCAGTGACGATTATACTAATTAGAAGCTTTATTTGCACTAGTGCAATATGATATATTATTGCACATTAACTTTTAGTTACATTCTCTATGAAACATTTTGTTCCTATGAAGTTTTTAAATGAAGGAACAGAAAGAGATAAAAAAAAAGCAGCTACTTCTATAAATATGTCAAATTACACTGCATTATATTTATAGAGCACAGGCCCTTTTCTTTTCTTTCTGCCTTCGTTTTTGTCTTTTATATTTTTTAGTAAATTTTCTTTGATATTTCAACATATTTACTTTTAATCTTCTTCTGAACCGTTACCATGTAAGCTATAGCATGATAAAAAAAATCTGCTGTGGGTCTATTAAAAACAGTGCATTGAATATTTGTCCTGAAAAAAAACATGTGATATTTGCCACTGGTTGTTAAGAATTTATCAATCAATCATTTATTCGTAAATCTTGAATCATTATATAGGACTATTAAATATATTTAGTTTTGCACATAGGGAAATACAAGAAAATTAAAGATGTTGGGACTGATTAAAATCATGTCTGCAATAAAACGTTACAATGCTACAACTAGATATACAATCGTAATTGAAAAAAATGTATGTCATATTTTATTTTTGATATTGTATTTGAAGACTAATATAATTTCCATCTTTTTTCTTCAGATGGACATTCTGGAGAGTGATTCAGGTAGTGACAAAAGTGATAAAAGTAAGGGACGAGGACGAACTGGTTGGCCTCAACATGTCTGGGCCTCCGAGTTAAAACCGTGAATTATCATTAGATTTAGATACGATCAATAGCAATTCCAAGGAGGATACGTGAATTCCACAGGAAATCCGGGTCTTATGACATGAAATTCCGAAAAACCAAATTTGACAGACAGGAAGTACTGCAAACGGAACTATGTGAATGTTATTCGCTGAACAAAACAGGATATCCGGTCGAATTTAAAGACATTTCCGGTAAACGATTACTTTCCAATTTGTGTTTTGCAGCATTTCTTTAATTTTGTGAATGATTGTAGAACTATTTATCTGCATATATGTGTGTGTGAGAATTTGAGCAATTATCTAACAAACTTTTGTGATACGGAATTTATTGCATTACTTTAGGTTATCGTATTTTTACGATAAATCAAGTGGCAGTCTTCCAAGGTCAACTGTGACACGATACCGAAATCCGAACAAAACTTATTCGTGCCAAATTAATGATTGTTATGTTGTTTTTCCTTAAATATTCAGAGATGTTATAATTATGAAATACTCAAATACATGTTTTATTGAAATAGTTAGTTTTGTCTCACTGAATAGTATTTTTTGAAAGTAGATTTTACAATTAAAACATCTTTATCAAATTACAGATCATGTGTCCAAGCTTTGCTTACAATGATGTGAAAACACTCTGTTTTACTTTCTGTTCGGGTAATCATTACATCAGCCAATGAAATTTCAGCCTTCAAATTTTAAACATGTGAATTAATCCGACAAAACCAGAATATCCCGAAAAGTCTTTTGAAATAGAAAGTAGAACGGAGCTTTTTCGGATACTTGTAAACAAAGCTTAGACACGGGATCTGGGCTGATATGCATAAAACTACTTTAGTTAAGATTTGTTCCGAACGGACGGATTTTCTACATGTCCTACGATAAATTAGTACTACGAATGGATATCTTAACTTAAGTGGTTTTATGCATATCAGCCCTGTATTTTAGGGAGATTGATCTTAATATCAACTAAACCAGAAGACTTAAGAAAAAACAAGGACAAAATCTTTAAAAAGTTTGGTAATATGATCATATAAGAGAAGTTGTCAAGAGGCAAATAACGAAGGTATTAGGCATACATCAACGAAACAGCAACCAAACGACACAAAAACGATATAAACAATATCCCAAGTGTATATGTCACTCTCAATCGGCAAGATTGAAGAAAAATAATGAAAGAAATTAGTAAACACTAACAAAGATCTGTCAGGATATCAACAAAATTCAAAACACGATAAAAAAAAAAAAACACAAACAAAACAAAAAGAAAACCATCGGCATGAGTGAAGAAAAGCCGTGAATGAAATTAATGAGGACTATTAAAGATCTTTCTGGATCAACAGAAAATTCAAAACTTGACAAAACAAAACACACAAACAAAAAGAAAACCACATAATTAAAAAACTCAACTTATTAAGATATAACTAGAGACCACCACAGTGACAAAGTACCTACCACTAAGACAAGGTACCTGACACGCTAGAGGCATTTGATAATGTGAAGGTGTAAAAATTATTTCTTTATGGCACTCGCAAATCCGTTTTTCCCACCCATTAGAACCATAGTGGCGTCCATTTAGGGTGCGGGATTTTGTCGCTGTGTTAAAGACCCATAGGTGGCCTTGGGCTGTTCTCTGCTTTTTGGTCGGGTTGTTGTCTCTTAGGCACATTCCCTGTTTCCATTCTATATTCTTTAAGCATATTAAAGACGATGAACAATATGGCAATACGATATTATCAGGCAAAGTAGCAGTTGTATGGGGGGATGGTGAGAGAAAAAAAAAACCACGTTCTAAACATAAGGAAAGGAACACAAAAAAATGCATGTTACAGTAGTTATATCTGTAAATTTTCGACGCGTTTATATTCAATCAATGGTATTAACGATCTTAAAACGTTTTGGCTAAAACATGGCAGGGGACCAAAAAAATATATAGTTTTACTCCATCACTTTCTGAAAGAGAAAACTATTTTAATTTTTGCGTAGATAGTAAAAATATCATGACAATCTTCGGAAAACGTTTTCCAACTTAATTAATACGTAAATATATACGGTGTTCGGCATGCATTATACTAGTGTTGTCTATCTAACTGTGTAATGAATAAAAGAAGTTGTGGTTTATACGTAAATGAGACACGAACCTAGCGACACACACACACACGGATTATATTGTCCTGAATTACCGAAATAAGTTTTACCCTTGTCCGTCTGTATGTCCGTACGTCCGTACGTACGTCCCAAAATTGTTTTCCGTTCTCTTACTTTAGTTTGCCTCAACCAAATGTTATGAAACCTATACACAATGCTTATTACCACAAAACACAGATCGCGTTTGAATTTTGGTGGCGTCACTATAACCGTTTAAGAGTTATGCCCCTTTACTAATGGAAAAAATGCTGAATTTTTCGTTTCCGTTTTCTTACTTTAGTTTGCCTCAACCAACTGTTATGAAACGTATACACAATGCGTATTACCACATAATACAGATCAAGTTCGAAATTGGGTGGCGTCACTGTTACAATTCTTGAGTTATGTCCCTTTATAAACATAAAAACTGCTGAATTTTCGTTTCCGTTCTCTAACTTCAGTTAGCCTCAACCAAATGTTATGAGACTTATACACAATACTTATTACCACAAAACTCAGATCAAGTACAAATTTGGGTAGCGTCACTTTTACTGTTCTTCAGTTATGTCTCTTTATAACTTTATATGATATGCAAGCGGGGGCACCATCTGTGTCCCATGGACACATTCCCCATTTATTGTTTGAATCTTCTGTCCTTACTGTGTTTTGACAATACGGTGAAATTTTGGAATTACAAATTTCTTCAATCCAGTCCCGTTACATGTTTATGTTCCTATCATAAAGTAAAGACTTATCGATGACTGTCTTTGTCTATTTTTGGGCTACACTATTGAGAATTGGAGGTTGATGTCGGGTGATTTATTCTTTTTTAATAAACAAATTGTTCAGACCCCTGACACTGATTTCGTAGACAACTGTAAATTGATGGGTGTCGTACGATGGGCCTCTAATTGTTTATTGTCTTGTTTACATTTATCACATATCTCCTTAATAATATCAAATACCAGTGCATTGTTATTTGCTTTTCGTCCAGCGGCAAGTATTTGATGTATATTTAGGACAAGAATAAATTAATAATAACAATAAATCCATGATAATTTCAAAGTTAGTCGACCTGGAAGAATGATAAAACAAATGGACTGCCACTGGAAAAGATGATTTGTAGAATAGGGTCAGAGTTTTTGGTCAACTATACGGACCCTCAAAGAGTTGTATATTCAAGATGACTACACTCTTACAAAAAAAAAGAGGAACTCGGTTATTTATCTGGAGAAACACTTTTATTTTATTTAAATGCTAATACAGACATGTTTTTGTCTGTTCTATTTTCTTTCGCTTTATCTGACTGTCTCGCCAGAAATAATTTATTGCATCTTTCGACAGATACCACAGTGCTTTGCACTTATATTTTCCACATAGCCATAGGTAGCGTCTTGTCATTTATTACCCCTTTGTACGACCAATCTATCCAATAAACTATCATGCAATTCCCTTGTTTCTCGATGAATGCAGTAATTATATTGATTTGTCAATTCTGATATTAAATTAATACGCATATGGTTAGCGTTAGACGCCAGTATAAGCAAATTAGCATTGACGTTTGCTAAAGTGCTGATCAATTGGCAGAGCAAGTTAACCCTTTTCTCAGTGATATAATGGGCATTTGCTGGCCGCTTACGCTATGGTTGTTATGCAAAGAACAGGAAAATACTGTAAAGAACTTTTCTATAAACAGTATAAAAATACCATTACAAGTTCACAGGATAGTATTATGAACGAGTTACTATTGATAGTTTTCATAAATATACGATTCTAAAACTACATTTTATAAACTGGTCCTTGCATGGCGAGCTGAAACTCTGCTTTAAGAGAGCATTGGCGGAAAGGAAATATGACGATGTTGTGTGAGGTATAATTTGTTCTTCCTAAGTGCTTATTAAAAAGATTATTAGAAGATTTACACAATTGAAAACATCCTACTTAACAAGAACTAAGAATGTATGTAAGATGTAGTTTTACCTTTGCTTCTTCATGGCAGGTCCCCAGTTAGCCATAAAAGAGGCTCCATGCAGTCAAACACACATAAGAAGTAGTATAAAAGTGTTCAAACTCGGTTTATAAAAACAATAAGATCTACAGAATAATGTTCTATCTCAATACCGGACAACCACACCTCCTGGCGAAAAGTTCATTGTAGTTTTGCTTCATACGGGATTTAATTTCAGTGGCATTTTTTAACATTGTAAATATCATGCATGGCATTCGGTATAATGTTTAAAGTAATAAAAAGTATATAAACGAAATTTTAAAAATGCAATGTATTTGACGTTTTACTGTGAATAAAAGGAAATGTGGGGTAAGCAACAATGAGAGAGCAATCCAACGACAAAAAAGACCAACAGACATCGGGAGAGGGGCACCTTCGGTCTTCGTCGAATTTCAGCTTGTTATGAGCAACAAAGTGGATACAACATATAAGCCAAATGTGCTTACCCTCTCAGAGCACATTCGATCACACCCGGGTTTTGGTGTGGTTCGTGAAGTTCACTCAAGTTTTCTATGAAGTGTTTTGTGGACTATTGTTTGTATTTTCGATTGTTGTTGTGTTTGTTGCCATGGTATTGTCGGTTTTACTTCGACTTATGATAATCGATTGTCCATTATGTGTTTTCTGCATATTAGTCTTCAACAACATACAGGTGTCTATACTGGTGTTATAACAAGTGCTGCGCTGTTTCCTTGGAGCCCAGCGCTTATGTGCATTTTGTATCTCGAGCCTGGACCCCTAATTGATATAGTAAGAACGTAAAATGATCTGACAACAACCTTTAAATTTTAGAGGAATGAATATTTGAAGATATATTTGACTCAATTCACCAATTTTGTAGGTATTCGATGGCAGTGAACATCTATTCTTAAAACGTTCATTCAATCATATTTACGAATATAAAATCTGTAAATGGAATCTTTATTTTTTATTTTCAGTTGGAGTTCAAAATGTCAAAGTCATTTGGAAAATCTGAGAAATCGACAATTTCTGTTGCCCGACCTTATAAAAGCCGATAAAGCAGTCTAAAAAACTCTTACCAATATTTTTTCTTCTTATTTTTTCCTTTCTTTGTAAAAAAGAAAACTCATCCAGTAAAGAAAAAAATAACAAGATGTCAATATTTCATATCTATATTTGATAACTATAATTGACAGGCACAAAATATTCCATCATATTTTTGTAGTTTTAATTCACAAACCCAGCATGTCGGCGCCAATCGAAGTCAGATAACGGCCCAAACTTGACGAAACTGTCATTTCTACACAGGTTTTGTTGTATATTCATAGTTTTTGCGAGTAAATCTAAAAGTGCTAACTGTTTTATAATGAAATAATGGACTATCATAATTTTGAATGTGGTAAGCAATAATTATATTAGTAAAAA